GAAGACTCATAATGAAGAGCTCTACATAAGACAGCATTATCTTATTGCTACTTTAAATGTAAAAGTGGCTAAAATATTCAACTCTCTTTACATGTAATTGTTCTTACTTTGAGATGTGCTTCCATTCTTTTTTTGTTTTCCATAGAAAGTGTTGATTGGCAGAACTGGTCATGGTAGCAAAGGTTGGGGATATAAAGAGAAATAGGACATGTGCTCTGTTCTTAAGGTGCTTGATCCAAACATACAATTTAAGTAGATGTGTTTTAAGGATAGAGATCTGTAGCTATCTGTGTTCACAAGATCTGGTTCTGTGTCATGATAGATTATGTAGATTTTAGGAATGTGGGATGGTGTACTTGATTATTCAATCTTATTTCCTCAATTATGAAGGATTTTTTTTTTCTCTAAAGCATTATAAAATGAGAATCATACAAGTACAGATATTAGTAAAGTTCAACTATTTTATTAAAATAAGATAGACATGAATCCTGGAGCTAAATTTTATTTTCCCATTTCATTCAAAGTAATTAGACACCTAACTTGAACCAGTTTGCTTTGTAGCTTACTTGTGGACGTCTCTCCTCTCTCGATCCCTGCTTTTCCTCCCAGTTTGTCATGCCTCACGGCTTCATCTCCTACTTCATCCAACCTGAAGTGCATCATTTCTTTGACTCTGGAAAAGTCTGCCTCCTTCTCTTGCATCTGCCCTGAAATCCCCAAGCTGTGCTTGAATTCAGTCACCCACCTACTTTATTCCCACACCCAGCTTGCTGAACTCCACGGGTGCCCTGCAGCACCAGCAAGTATCTTGTTGCCACTCCATGTATGGCTTCCAGATGGAGCTGAGGGGTCAGTGCTGCTCACCACGCCGTCCTCCCTTCCTGGGAGAAGACCTTCCAGAATTCTGCAGTCTCTAGGGCTCTTCTCCACTCATGCTTCATGCTTTCAGCCAATGAACATATTTAAAAACTTCACAGAGAATGTGAGTTTTTCTGGTTTTCCCTCTCTACTTTCTTTTCAGATATATGCATTAAGATTTGTGAAGTCACAAGTGCACACACTTTCTTGTTTCTAGTTTTATACAAATTGTTCACCTCTTTTCTAAAGGTCTTATCTTAAATTGGTGACATTTCTCCTGTCTTAGTTCCTGCCTTGGACTTTGTCTGACCAGCTACTCTTGACATCTGTCCCTCTTCCTCTTAACTGGCTCTTTCTGAATATACTAAAAATATATTCATATCTCTCACATTAAAAAAAAAAACATGAAATCTCCCCCATCCATATGTTCTATTGAAGGAAAACCCCCAGCTCTCTCCTTCCTTGTTCTTACAGAAAGAGAAGTAAGTAATCCCTACCTCTATTTCAATACCTCTTTTGAGTGATTTTTAAACTTAGTGAAGTCTGGATTTCAGGCCTACTGCTCTGCTCATACAAACCTACAAATTCAGTGTCATTTGTCAGTTCAGTTGATATTTGCACAACATATTTGCTTATTCAACAGCTTCCTTAGGATATACCTCAAGGACTCTAACAAGCATTCCCTAGGTTGAACCTTATAAACCTCTTCTTCCTGCTGTCTGCTCTCTTAGTAAACAGTATCACCCAACATACAAGCCTACAAATCTGGGTGTCTTCTGATACTCCTCTGTCCCTCTCATGTCCTATGTTTAGATAGTTACCAAAGCCTTAGATCCCTTGCATGTATTCTGCTCCTTTATCTTCGTGACTACAGTTGTGCTTAAATGGGTGCTATTTTTCACTGGGCTAGTGAGATAGATTTCAAACCTATTTTTATATTTCTTACAAGCTTTAAAAAATTTTTTTAACTGCTCTCTCACAGCCTGGGATAAATCTAGTCTCCTTAGAATGGCATTAAAAGGCTCCCCTCCTGGTTTTGACCAAAGTCTAAATCATCTTTTGTTTGGCTGTGATGAGTCATAGACTCACCAGAGACTCTCTGATGAAAGCTATAGATGGTTTCTTTAGAAAATTGCATATGCTTCCAAGCACAGAAGCTCATACTTTGTTGTAGTGATGTCGAGGGGGTTCACAGTCTCCCTCAGATCTGTCTGTGAATCTCACAGTCCAAACCAATCTCTCAGCACACTCTCCAACACTTTCAGCAAGTCTGAGATACTTACATTTCCCATCCCTTTTTTAAAATTTTATTATGTTATGTTAATCACCATACAGTATATCAGTAGTTTTTGATGTAGTGTTCCATGATTCATTGTTTGCATATAACACCCAGTGCTCCATTCAGTACGTGCCCTCTTTAATACCCATCACCGGGCTAACCCATCCCCCCACCCCCTCCCCTCTAGAACCCTCAGTTTGTTTCTCCTTAATGTCCTAGTTGATGGTCCCCTTCACACAACCCCTGGCTGCTCCATTCACTTGAGCAGAATAAAACCCACTCATCTTCTGTCCATTAGCATAAAGTCACCTCTAGACCTGTCCTCATTCTGTCTTCACACATACAGGTCTGGGTTATTTTCTTCTTTGTGAATGGGTTATGTATGACCTCTACTAAAAGGTAACAAAATAACCTAGGGAAGACAGTCAAATTTAAAGTTCAAGAGCCTTGGAATCAGAATGCCATGAGTTGAATGCATAGAAATGGGTATATTTGGTAAGCAGTGTAATGTCCCCTGACCCAACTTTGAGGAAGGAGAAATTTCTTCTCCCAAAGTAGTACCATTTCCAGCTTTATGATGGAACTGACACTTAAGTTGGTTTTAAAAACTACAAAGAATTTGGAAATGTGAAGAGGTAAAGTAGAAAAGATGAGTGAGGATTTTCAGACCCAAACATTTACTAAGCTGCTTTCCATTTTAGATATTAGAAACTTGGTTGTATCATTAGATTTTTTATAGTACTATATATATCACAAGAATTTAACTTTCATGTAGTTCATGTGACTTTATTCCCTGACCTTTATCTTTATTTCTTACTAGAAGTTTCCTTATTTGAAATTCATGCTGAGCTCATTTTTCCAGTTTTCTGCTAATTATATTTACTGATTTGTAAGATTTGAGACATTGGTTTATCAAAACTGTTTTTAGGAAATCTAATCCTATCGGAAACCCATTAAGAAAGTATTCAATGGGCTAACACCCTTGTGATTCACATTAGCATCGTAAAGACTGAGAAGTTCTCAGAAGAAATTTCACTTGTTTAAGTCACTACTTCACAACTTAGTTGAGCATAGAACCCCCTTTTCCATAACAGCTGTTACTATCTGAAAGGACTATTTCTCCACACTTTGGGGAATTATAATGAAATATAAATATTCATCTGGTATGCGCTCTCTTTCCAAATAAAACTATTAAGCATCCAAGATAAGTTGTTTTACATTTTTATTCACATCTCAAAGATTCCAAAATACTCCTTAACTTAAAATACTTTTATCATAGGCTATATGTATGTTTCAAATATTTTTTATTAACCTGTTGTAAGAGAGCTATTTGAATATATTTTTAAAAAATCAAAATAGGGGCGCCTAGGTGGCTCAGTCAGGTAAACAGCTGACTTGATTTCGGCTCAGGTCATGATCTCAGGGTGATGAGATCTAGCCTGGCATCAGGCTCTGCTCTCAGTGGGGAATCTGCTTCTCTCCCTCTGCTCATCCCCCCACTTGCCGCTTGCTCTCTCTCTTTCTCTAAAATAAATAAATAAATCTTTTAAAAAAATTAAAAATAGTATCGCAGATCTTTTGGAACCAAAAGGTTGGCTAAGTTTCAAATGGTTTTCTCCTTCACCACTCATTTGAGAAAACTGAAGCCTAGAGAAGTTTAAGAACTTTGTGAACATCACGGAGAGATTCTGTAGTAGAATCCAGACTTAAAATGGATGTCTTGAAAAAGATCCCAGTATTCTTTTGTTGCTTACTAATGCAATCCATTGCTGAATAATACATTTATAAATAATAAAACGGATCCTGCTTGTGATGACAGTTGAGATTTTTCATGACTTAGGGTTCGAAACAAAAACTAGATGGGTTTATGTAAATGTCCAATTTCAAATGCATCATCACAACTAAACATAGTTGAAATGATACCTGAGAACAAAGGCTTTAACAATAATTTAGAAATAAAATTTAATATTCAGAAGAAATGTTTTTAAAAGATCTAGTCTTTTGGAAATATTAACTCTATAAAATCCAAAGTGTAAAGTGGAGGAAAGATTCTTTTTATTCTTGTTTGTTTAGTGTTTCATTTAATGAAATGTTTTCTTACAACATGAAATCACTCTTGGAGATCAAAGTCATTAGGAGAACACAGCAGATTGTGCTTATTAGTTGATTCTAACCAGTTCTGCGGTTTAAGTTGTTTTTCCAAGGCAGAGGCATTTCCGTCTGTTAGGAAATACAGACCTTTAAAATTTTTGTTACCACTATGGCATTGTATCATAGCTTCCTCCTTACTAACTTTGAAAAATTTAGGACATATCATGCTCTCAATCAACCACATAAAAATATATTTAAAAAAGAAAATGTATTCCATCCTCTTGTTATATTCTTATATGAAGTTACTTTTTTAAATTATAATTTAATTTTACTACTAAGCATGCCAGGCCATAATAACAGTTTTTGGGAACTGTCAAGGTATAAAGTACATGTTTCTTTCTTTTTCCTTTTTTTTTTTTTTTAACTTAAAGTATTTGTGTGTATAAGAAAAACCTCTTTACTTCCAGGAAACACATCCAACATTTTCAAGATTAAGGAAATAACACACCACGTATGCTATTTTAATTAGACAATATTAAATGCGAACTAAAAGTCTGGTGGACTTAATTCCAACATGTCTGTAACTTTATCACCATGTGGAAAATTAATGTTGCAAAGTCAAATGTGGCAATAAAATATACAGAATAAGGTATATTTGCTAAAGAATAAGGTGTATTCATGAAGTTTATACTCATAATGTTGAACCATTAGTAAAAGGGTATTTTATGTTGATAATTAATATGTGTAAATTTTAAAATTTTCAATTTTTCAGATATTCTACTCTCCCCTGGCCCTCTTCGTACCACCTTCAGTATATGCTGTTCATCTTCAGTTCAATCTTCTCTACCAATTTTGGATCCACACAGAGGTAACTCTTTTTTATTTTTTTTAAGTTTTATACCTAAATAGTTAGCCTGAAGCAGTGTCCTGGAAATCCACTAGCAGCTGATTTATTGTGTAAGAGAAATCTTTGTCTGCCTTCTTTAAGGAGAAACATCTGTTCATTTTTATTCCTTTTTATTGAATATATATTGCAAAGTTTATAAGAAGCAATGAGGCCAGTTGGTCTCAATTAAATAAAACAATTTTTTGAAATATTAAGTACCAAAACATTCTAATACTATATTCAATACAATATCTTCCTGTATTACAGTTTATTAAACATTGTTTACCAAAAGATGTTGAAATACATTTCAACTTAAAGATACAAATTTATATATATAAATTTTTAGATATTTATAAATATATGTAATTTTATATATTTAGTATGTTAATTATTATTTTATGTTATAATTTATATAATAATAAACAATATTTATGTGTCACTATTGATACGTTTTAATTTACATATTTACACATACATATATCAATCAGTGGGAACTCCTTGAGAAAAGTTTAATGCTTAAAGAAATTGTGAAAATATCGTTTGACTAGAAATCTTGCTTTAATTTTAGAGTTTAGGTTTTATTTAGAGAGTGTTCAATATGTTTAGGTTCCCCCCCACCAGAAAAATGAGCAAATATAATTTCTTGGGTTTTCTGTGATATCTCAAATTGTCAGATTTGAATGTTTGCAGATAGATCATTAAGCAACTGATTGTTTTATGAACGCTTGTACTGTTCTGGTTGTTAAATACCAAAAATCGCAGACCCAGAACAATTTTTGCTCATACATATGAGACCCTCTCCAAGCATTTGGCGTTTGCTGGAAGACTTTTGAAGTTCTGTAGGAAACATGTTGACAGGTGTTGCAGCTGGTTGAACAATACCGCAAATCACAGCGGCATTCAATACCAAAGCCTGATACAACAAAGTGCGTTATTTCATTAATCTGCAGTATTTCATGCTACCGCTCTACTTGGAATAAAGAGACTGTTACTATGACTTTGGACATATGTGGCATTATTTGAAAACCTGTGGTGAAATAGCATTGCATTTTATGGCAGTTGACATACATCAAACAGTCAATAGGACAACCATCTGAAAGAGCTGTTGAGGCCAATTCTGACTGTAGAGGTCAAAGACCAAATTTGTTTAAATCAGTAGAGGAAAGCTTTCTGATGATTTACTTGGAGGGGTTAAAGGAGAATTACATTTTTATAGCAGCTCTGCTACAGGTCAACCCACGTGTTGGGTCAGAACAATGGTGCCTAAGTTACTTCCGCCTTTCCTGTGCCACTCTGAGAGGTCTGTGAGCTTGAGTTTCATTGCAGTATGTAGAGGGGCAGTGGGGGAAAGCCAGTGGTGAGACATCTCTTTTAAGCTCAGGACCTCCAGGTGGCTTCATTTCCAAACTCAAAAGCAACGCATTACAACCTTTCACCTGTGTTGTCCTTCATATTTTTTTTCATATTTTTGAAAGTACTGTATCATGTATAATTACTACAGTTGAGCTGCACAGGAAGCAAGAACACACTTTCTGCAATTGAGGTTTGGCTTTTGAAATTTTAAATTACATTATTAGGTGTGAATACATTTATAAGATTATTTTTTTACAGGTATGCATTTAATTACATTTATTATTATAGACAGCATACTACCACTTGTTTAAAATAACAGAATCATACAGGAAAGAGAACCAAGAGATTTTTAACAGTGGCTGTTTCTGGAGAGGGGGGTGAGTGGAATCGAGAACTGGAGTGGGGAGAGGACTTAACTTTTTAAAAAATTATTATTATCGTGTGCTTGCCCTAGTTTTTCAAAGTTTAATACACAGAAACCATACTCCATTCACAGAAACACTATTCCAGCCATGGTACACATAACAATGGTGGCCAAGGAGCCCCGAATGGTCCTGAATGGAGGTTTGATTCTTTCCGTTGTTTCATGGCTACTGACATCCATGAAATCAGTTTTCACTCTGAGGGGGATTTGGCTTTAAGGAGGTACTGATTTTTTCAGCGTGAAGACCAGTTCATTCACGTCATCAGTCAGGTTAGGATAAGAGAAAGTAAAAAAAAAAAAGCAAAACAGTAACAACATGCTTTTAAAAGATTGTATGTGAGAGAAAAAATAGATCCTAAAACAAACTAAAAAGTTTGTAATAATATAGTGTCCATCCCTTTCCTCTTTTCTGAAAGTTACAAAACCTTCTGCTATAAACTGTACTCTGTTCTTTAATTTTTGCCTCCGTTTTTGTTTATTGTTCATTCATCCAAAGTGTCTGCAACACGTAGTCAGTGACACTCTTTTCTTCTGAGTTCACTAAAGACAAGTAAAAAAACTTATTATTTAATACATGTTTTAAAGTTAAGAGTTGTGGAATGTTGTCATTTTTTTTGATATTTTAGATGATATTTGGGTATTAGTTGATTAACACAGTATGATAGTCATAGTAACATTATCTAGTACCTTATCATTATCTGTTACCTTTGATTTACCATCATTGTTCATGTACATATCTGTTGATGCTTGTGCAAAGAAATATAAAAGAGAAATGACTCTTTGGTATTGAAGATTTGAACCCATATGATTCAAGGATTTTTATAGTGCTAAACTGAAGCCCCTAAATGGAATATGATGCAGTTACAAACAAAATGAGCAATGTTTTCTGTACTAATATGGACAGATAGCCAAAAAATAACAGTGTATAGTGTATGCTAATATTTATATTAAAAAAGGGAAAACAACTATATGTTTTATAGGTTCACAAATGCATGAAATGTTTCTAGAAGTACACATGGGTAGCCAACTCTTTTCCCAGGGGAGAGATATTTGGGATGACTAGGGAGAAGAATTAGAATGAGATATTAACATTAATTTAACCCATTCTAATGTGGGCAAGGAGCTCTCTCTTTGTGGTAATACTTCCCAAATAATAACAAAACATTGATGATGTTGTGCAGCATTCCATGTACTTATTGGGTATTGATGCATTTGATTTAATAAACTGCCTGTTCAAGCTTTTATTTTTTATTGAGTTGTTTGTCTAAGTGACTTGGAATTCTTTATAGATTCTGGATATAAATCACTGTCAGATATATGTATTTCAATTATAGTTCCCTATCCTATAGCATGCTTTTTATTTTCTTTTTGATTACTTTTGAAAAAAATACTGAATTTTGAAGTTTAGTTTATCTTTTTTTAATGGTTAGTTTAGGTGGGGGTTTTTTGTTTGCTTTTTGTATTTTCTCTAAGAACTCTTCGATTATTGTTTTTATGAATACCCACTTACTATTGCACCATTTAAGAATAGAAACTTTCTTTCAGCCATTAGATGACCTGAGTCCTTTGTTGAAAAGAAATTGACCGTATGTGATCGGCTCTAATTTTAGGCTTCTATTCTCTTCCATTGATTTGTTTCCTCTTATACCAATCCCTCACATTATTGATTATTATAGCTAAATAGGAAGACTTGTTTGTACAAATGATAAAATAATTTGTTTAAAAATTCTCCAGGACTTTCTTATGGACAATTGTATAGTCTTTGAATAGACAGTTTTCTTTCTTTCTTTCCTTTATTTATGCCGTATATTTCCCTCTCTCTCTTTCCTTTTTTTTTTTTTTTTTGCTTCATTGCTTAGAGTTCACAGATAGTATATTTTAGGTCCAATTTTGAAACAAACAAACCTGGCCATTATTTCCTTACACATTGTATCTACACCTTTCTCTCTCTCTTCTCTTTGGACTAAAAATACATGTTTATTAGACTATTTGATATTGATTCATATCACAGTAATGCTCTCTAATTTTTTAAATCCCACTTTCTTATTTAGATTGGTTAATTTCTCTTAATTTATCTTCAGGTTTAATTACCTTTTCACCTGCTCTCTCTAATGTACTTTTAAGCCCATTCAGTGGATTTCTCACATCAGATAGTATGCCTTAAATTTTCAAATTTCCATTTTTATTTATAAATAGTTTTCGCTTCTCTGCTGAAAGTATCTGTCACTCATTATGGCTGTCTTTTCCTTTAAGTCTTAACCTTAATAAGTATTTTAAAATTCTCATCTGTTAATTCCAACATCTGAGTCATGTACAAGTCTGCTTCAATTGACTTATTTTTCTTTTTATGGATCACGTTTTCCTTCTTCTCTATATGTCTAGTAAATTATTATTATTATTATATGCCCATCTCCATGGCACATTTGTTGTAAAGATTAGATTCTGTTATAGTCTGTTTATAGAATTTGTTATATTCTATAGATTCTGTTATATTCCTCTGACATTTTGTTATTTTTATTGTAGGAGGCAGTGAAATAATTAGCTAATTATCCTGCATTTTTGGAGGCTTTGATAGGACCTGTGACTTTTAGTATGGTCTTTAGTCCTGGGGCGTATTTATTATCCTTGGTGGTCTTTAATTGGTGGCCTTTAATCTCAGGGCAAGAACTATCCTTTTTTTTTTTTTTAAGATTTTGTTTATTTATTTGAGAGAGAAACAGAGCACAAGCGGAGGGAGGGGCAGAGGGAGAAAGAGAGGAGAAGCAGACTCCCCGCTAAGCATGGAGCCTGAGGCAGTGCTCAAGGTGGGGCTCCCTGCTGCCAGGGCTGGACTGTGAGTGGGCTCAATTCCAGGACCCTGAGATCTTGACCTGAGCCAAAGTCAGACGCTTAACTGGCTGAGCGATCCAGGTGCCCCATATCTTCTTTGTCTTTTAATGAAATTCCTGTGGTGTTTACAAAGCCACTTTAACTTAGTAGGATTTGCATTCTACTTTTTCTCTTATGAGCACCCCGCCGCAGGTGAGATCTTCGTCGGCAATTTTCTAGCTTTTTACCTACCTAGCTTTTCAGCAAGTTCCTTAGTGCTTCTTCCTATGCATGAGTATTTGCATGAATATTTAAGAGTCAGCCAAGACTCTTAATTCAAGAGTCAGGAGACTCGTATGTGGATTGTGGCTTCACTCTCTGTGGGTCCTTCCTTTAC